GCGCAGTCCTGGAGGCGGGGGTCCAGGGTCAAGTGCAGGAGGCCAGGGTCTGGCAGGTGTCAGGTGCAGGACAGGCTGAGTAAGCTGTCTGCAGGGCGACCAGGCCACTCCGACCCTCTGTCTGGTTCTTTATCCCCTTTTGCTTCAAGCCCAAACGCCCAAGCCCAGCTCAGGGCTGAGCGCTCAGCCCCCCGGCACCACAAGGCGCTTGCAGACCCAGAGCCCCCTTAGATCCGGGCGAGAGAAGCTCCCTCCTGCCCCCCCTCCCCCTCGGTTGCTCTGCTGCAGAAAAGATCCCTTGGTCGCTCCGAGTGCTGTGGTCACTTTCCTTTCAGCAAGGACCTGTCCTCTTGGCTATGCTGTCCGGGCATCCTCGCAGGAGGGGACAGAGGGACAAAGCTGCCATGAGCCCTTTCAGAAGGACGCTGACCACCTCACAGAACCCCGCTGGTTCCTCACCTGGACACAACTTCCAGACCACAGTGACTCTGCTGGGAAAGAGGGGCGTCCAGGCCCGGCTGTGGGGACAGGGTCAGCTGAGCCGCAGACCCCTGAGCACCAGTGACTGTGACAGCTGAGCCTCCCTGCTGGACGACGCTGGCCCTGCTCTGCCTCCCGGGCCAGCTCCTCCTGCCATCAGGCGCGAGGGCTCTGCAGGGTGCCCTGCAGGACGGAGCTGCTCCCTGGGCAGCTCTGCATCTCTTCAGGAGCCACTTCTTGTCCCCAAAGCTCTGCCAGAGCTCTTCACTGGGGGCCGGTGGTCACCTGTCCAGCCAGGGAGGTGCCCCGGGCAGCTCGGCCCGGCGGAGGGCTTCTGTTCACCAGCCAGACGCCACCCTCCAGGCCCCAGACCTGACGCTGCGGTGGGGGGCTCCAGCCCGCGGAGGGGGGTGGGCCCAAGGCCAGGGCACGGGGCGGTGCCCCCATCAGCGGGAACGTGCTCCTCGCCGAGGCCCCTGGCACGCACCCAGGGCTCCGCCATGTTCAGATGCCCTGTGGTCCACGTCACTGGTCTTCGGCTGAGATCCACAGCCGGTCAGCGTGTCCAGCCCCAGGACAATGGCAGGCCACCACTGCTGTGAGAAGCAGCAGGAGACACCCCCCGAGGGGCCTCATCTCAGCCAGTGCGTCGTCCCAGGGTGATGACCTCTCAGGGCCCAGCAGCACTCCAGCAGAACCACCCTCACCCTCCCTGGTGGAGGCCCATGGACGAGGCCCAGCTCTCTCCCTGGTCAGCTCCCACACAGCCAGGGGCTCGAGGACAGAGGAGGACAGTGTCCTGCCTTGGAACTGAGGGGAGGTGGCCATCTGAGCTAAGCTGTCCTTACGGCCCTTGAAGGTGTCATGAAGGCTTGTCTTCTCTGTCCCCGTGGTGGCCAGAGCCCACGTCACTGCAGTGACAGGGACGGCACTGCATCT